TAGTCTTCCTTCTTCTTCTGTCAATAAATCACATGTTTTCTACTCGACATATGATTTGATTTACGCGTAGAGAATAAACAAGCTAAATCAGCATTTATTAAAGTTCATGTGGTTGAGAACGAGAAAGATCTTTCCAAAAACACCTTGTTGGATACCTTTTGCACCTTCACCTTGACCTCCAATTTACCTACCTAGCCATTGCACCACACACACACACACACTCACACACTCACACACTCATATACCCTTTTTGGATTTGCTTTGCTTTGCTTTGCTTCAAACCCAAACTCTCCCTTTTTGTCGGATCCATCATACCTCATACCTCATACCTCATACCTCATACCTCATACACCACACCCTATACCCAATACCACATTTTACCCCACGGTAAATCTTTCCATCTACCTTATTAAATTCCGCCTTTCTTAAACATTTGGATAGCAAAGGATCGCAGGTGGGCTCAAACGACGCTTCGAGATTCCAATCATATTCTCTATATCTATTGATTCTTGCTTTGGGCGCAAGAACTCGACTCTTCTTTCCTTCTGTTCTCCGTCGTGCGCACTCACTCTACTGCCACACAACTCGCATGCAAAGCAAGTAACCGTAAGGCTTGCAACCATGGAGCGATCTCCTCCGGATCAAGAGGCTGCACTAAAGCAATTCCAAAATATGTCGTATAACGAGTACAACCAACAATATTTCCCTATGCAGCAATCTGGTGCGATAAACTTTCCTCTAGATCCACATTACGCCGCACCGATGTCAGCTCCTGCTCAATCATATAATCATGCCGGAATGGCTCAAGATGAGGTTTGGAAAACGCAAGATTTCGCGCAGCCGCTAAATCTACCATCGCAATCATACCAACCATACATCTACCATCAAACAATGGATCTGTCGCAACCATTTTCTTCTCTGCAGAATATGCATCAAGAATATTCGAATTTGAGATCCGGTGCCCACTCACTTCCAAATTATACAGAGCAGTCACCGAGAAAGCGACAAAGAGTCAATGAATCACCTACTACAAACCGGTTCAGGCATACAATCCCACAAGCACCTGAAGCTGATACAACCAGCGAATGTTGTAGTTCTTGTCCAAGTGGTTCGCCGTGTGCCGAATCAGATTGTGGTGAAAATGATGTTGTTGTTGCTTGCACCTCTCAGGAGTGCGAACAACCTGTCTGCACTTCCCCAGAGTGTGAACAGCCTGTCTATACAGAACCTTGCACTAAAGATGCTGCCCTCAGCAGAAGATGTTCAGCTGCGGGAGATGATTTACCTTCTGATAGGATGTATCAAAGTTGGGATAACTTTCCTGCAATTATGTCAACAGAGCAGCAACGATCGTCCAGAATGCAATCTTTTGCACCATCGACATTACGAAACAACCAAGCTCCGCAAGAGATCTCACCTTCTCCTGTACCAACTACACCATCTCTAGTCATGAACACAGAAACACCCTACTCAGATATGGCATCCTTACACACACCCGGACTTCCCATGCAGCAACTCACAGATAATCTGTCTGGTTCCTCGCTCAATGGTACTGGAATGCGTTTCGGTGATGGATTGGAGATGTTCAGTTGTAACTGGTTGGACTGTGGACAGCCAATGCATGATCAATTTGAATGGCATAGACATTTTCACCAGGAACATATTGATCCGCAATTTACATTCAATTGTCTCATGCCTTCTACATCTTGTCAAGCGCCACTCAACTCGAATCCTTTGGATCACTTGCAAATAAATCACGGCTTCACATTCGAGGAGAGTATCAACGGATTCCAATGTCCTGCTCCAGGATGTCCTACCGAAGAGATGTATTGTGATCCTTCAATGCTTCACAATCATATTGATCAAATGCACGCCATACCTCTACAAGGACAACTACAGTGTCAAGTTGATTCTTGCAACACTTCATATCAAGATCCAAATCAATTCTTCAATCATTTGAACCATGATCACAATTTACCAATTCCAATGACCCCTGTCGAAGAGATTGATCTTTCAAGTATACCAGTGCCAATGGAGGCAAAAATGGAAGAGAAGACGAAAGGACAGACTGCTTCGGTAGCCAAGAACAACGAACCAGAATTAACTAATCATTTATCTTGCAAGTGGGCAGCCGATGATCATGCTTGCGGTCAAGTATTTACTTCCGAAAATGATCTTCAAACTCATGTCAAGGAAGTTCACTTGACTGTTTTGAACAAAACTTCCGGTTACTTTTGTAAGTGGCAAGGTTGTTCTCGAAAAGCAAAAATGGGTGATAAGGAAGGATTCTCTCAGAGAGGAAAACTTGAAAGACATATGGCGAGTCATACTGGATGTAAGTTGTTTCCTGATGCTTCTCTTACCTGTAGAATACTGACCAAGTCAAAATAGTCAAAGAATGTACGTGCGATTTTCCAGGATGCGGAAAAACATTTGCAGCAGCACAATCCTTAAAACAACATTACCGTCTCCACACTGGCGAAAAGCCGTGGAAATGCAGATATTGCCCCAAATCCTTTCCTCAACAAAGCGCATGCACAGTCCACGAGCGTATACATACTCATGAAAAACCTCTAGAATGTTCTATTTGCAAAAAGACCTTTAGCGAATCATCAAATTTGGCAAAACATAGAAAGACACATGGGGAGAGAGGTCATTATGAATGTCCGGATTGTCCAAAGACTTTCCATCGGTTGGATCAGTTGAAGAGGCATGCGGAGATGCATGAGAGGAAGAAGAAGAAGGCTGGCGAGGGAAGCAGTGGAGGTGGTGGGGATGGGGAGGAGGGGAATAGTGAAGTTACAGAGAGTTTGGCAGGGGATAGTTTTGATGGACATAGTATTAGGAATATGGGGCAAGATGATAGGGATTAGGGATGGGGTGGGACGAGTGGTTATGGGTGGCGAGGAATGGGAAATAGGGAATGGAGCTTTCGTGGTATTTACTGTAATGATTCTACGAGAAACAAAGATCATGATTTACGAATCATGAATCATGGGACACGGGGCAGGGTGCGATTTGATACTGGCGAGCGAGACGGCACGATGGATTATCATGCCAGCGATGCATATTATGCGAAGTAGATAAGGGTGGATATCAAAGTTTGAGAATACCTGGTATATAAATGCGAATGGGTGGCTGGAAATTAAGGAAAATTAAGCGATTACCTGGATAGATGGATGGATAGATGGATCATATGAATGGTAGCGTAGGAACATGGAACATGGAACAGTAGGTGGGAAAGAGGAACGGAGGGAGAAAACTAGGGAATGGAGAATGGGAGGGAATACCAAAAAGTCTTTAGTAAATAAGTAGATGCCTACCCGGCAGGCTGCTAGTTAGTGATTGATACCTTATTTGAATTTTAATGATGGATGTTTTGTGAAATCAACTTTGATATGGGGAATAGTAGGGGACAATGAGTTTGTGATTGGAGATTCACCCTTTCTCTTTGCGTTTATCCATCTTTCTATCCATCCGCCATCTACACAATCATCCACCATCTACATGATATTCCATAGCTCCACGATACAACCAGCTCACTCTAATATGATCTATCTATCTAGGTATCGACATAGTAGTTTAGCCAGAGCCCTCAACTTAACCCATCGACATCTCCTCACTTGCAATGAATGTACGAGACCCCAGATATGGAGAATACCTAGCAATAAATACCTAGCCGTGTTGAAACTAGCAGCACTACTAGCGCTAGTATTGTTCACCAATAGTATCACCGGGCTTGCAAATTATATCATATCATATCATTTAACATCACATCACATCATGTAGCATCACATCATGTAACATTACAATATAGTACATTACAACATAGTACAACATCACATCACGATGTGCATTGCAATGCAATGCAATGCATCATAGATAGCAAATACGTTCTGAATGTATGATGTATGTATGATGCTGTGATGACAATTGCAACGATGAAGTTGTTGTGGAGTTGTTGCTATGTGATGAATGAATGTACAGGGATGGAGACGGAGATTTGGGATACTGAGATATGTGGGATATTGAGATGCTGGGAATCAAATGAGAGAGGAGAGAGAGGAGGGAGAGAGACACGACACAGTACTTGGAGTACAGAAAAGTAGAAAAGTTTTTAACCACTATGCAAGAAGTGGGTGCGTGTGAAAATGAGGATAAGTGAGAGAGTGAGAAAGAGCACGAGGAACGAATGAAGGAAGTGGCAATATTCGAGTAATTGGCAAACATGTAGTGATCTCCTGGAAGATGAATAACGGGGTAGGGAAGGGATAGACATACGGGGATGCAGAGGTGTTTTTGTTTTCGAGAAGTTAAAAAAGATGCGATGGAGTGAAAAATAGCGAGTGGAGATTTTTGTTCATGCTTTTTGACCTTTTGATATGCATGTATCGGTGAGTACAAGAAGAGAATGCAGATGAATGATAGGCATAAGAAAGAAAGAAAGAAAGATTAGAGTAGCAACACATAGAAGAGCTTTCTGATCACTGAAAATGCTGAAGGTGAACTTAATAAGAGTGCTGAGGGTGGAGAATGCATGTATGTTTGAAACTGGAATACGAGCCGTGAATGGGAATTGGGGTATTGAGATGAAATTGGGTGGTCTGGAACATTGTGATATATGGAAATTTAGGTACTACATTTGATCATGATTGGAACCAAGAGGCAGATGCTGGAGTTGAGTGCAAGGGTAAGAATGAAATGGTACCGGTTTCATTATGACGACATAATCTGGCAAATGGTACAAGGGAAAATCAACATAGAATGGCATAATCGTGTCCATTGGCTTCTTCATGGGGATCTTCAGGTTGCGGTAGAATGTGCCAACCAGTACCAAAATTTCAAGCACGAGCCACAGCATATTGTGAAATATAACAGCTTGTTCGAAATCACTGCTGCAATCGTTCGTAGCTCTCCCCAATATCGACGTTCGCAAGTTCCTGGGTATAATGGCCATAGAAGTCTCGAACCCTCCTTCGATTTCGGAACCATGCGTAACCGCTCGCACAAGATATCACACCAAATCCAAAGGACCCATTTGTTGTTTTGCTCAAGTCGTTTGATTTATTGGAAAAGGCTTTTTTACTAGCCATGCTATTTTCGATGATACACCGTGACCCGTGCGAAAACAAACCAGGCAAAAGGCACCATGCCAGCCATCCTCACAATCATAAACACCTACGTCCAGAAAATCTAAGCCTCCGCCTATTGTAAAGTTAGCATCGTGATCCAAAATCTTTCATCAATATCCCTCCACTATCTTCAAGCTCGTGGAAAAAGATATTGACTCGGGGTCAGCGGAATCGCATACCTTAACAGCGAACTTTCTTTGTGGGAAGTGCATCGATCTCTTCTTGGTCTTCTCCAACTGCAACTCCTTCTCGTGCTTGCTGAGACGTCTACGGATGGCACGAGTTTGCTTGGATCGGAGATCGAGAGGAAGGTACTTCTTTCCCTTGTAGAAGAGACGGAGTTGTGCGCGTTGGTTGGCGTTGATGACTGTGAGGACCTTGGCAATTGACTTTCGGACGTCGTGGCTACAAGGAAGATCTCATTAGTATCCATCTTAATGATCTTGTATCTCGCAAATTCTCATCCAATTTTCGGCAGGTCGAGAGTGACGATTATAATTAAAGTACGCACATCTTGGTGAGCTTAGCAGCAGATCCTCCAGCAATCTTCTGAGTTCTCAATTGACCGAGCTCAGTCTTCAACTCTCCAAGTTGCTTTGCGAGGTCCGCCTTGTTCTTGGACCAAAGTTGGCCAGTCTTTACTTTTCCGGACGACTAATCGCGATGATCCGTTAGCCATCTTTCTTCCATAAATTGAAACGTCAACATCTCCCCAAAGAATTTGTCGCATACCATTTTGAGTAAGGGTCAGGTGGTTGTCGATTGTGGTTGTCGGGCGTCTCGTCGTCGTGAAAATATCGAAGTTGCTGCAGAGGCCGTGGAAACAAAAGTTAGGGTTTACCGAGCCCACAAACTGAATTTTCAAAATTTTGGTTGACCAATCAAATCAAAGTCACATGACCCCGATATTCCTTTGCCGGTGTTTAAGGTTTTAAGAACATTGAATTGTGAAAGTCATTTCTAGTTAAGTGAAAAGAAACACGAGATTCACTCCCACTTCATCTAATTGAAGAAAGCTCTCGAATCTCTTAAATTCAAGGTATCGCCAACTCAGCGATGTCAACTTACTATGCACTAGGAGCGAATATGTGTGTTTCTCTATGAGCTCCTCGAAAGTCTTTCGGCGCAAAACTTCAATTATTGGCAAGCTCTTGACATCTGCTGTTCATTTGTTATAATCATAGGTAAGGAAGGACAAGTCGTAAGTATCAATTTCAACCGGTCGAGGAAAGTTTTGCATTCTATTTTTGAAGAGTAGGAATCTGGTAAAATTGATGTACCTACCTAGTAGTCTGCACAGCCCTTTCCTGGAAAGACTTGTTCTTTTCGTGGAGTTCAAATCGAACCTTTGGCTTATGAGAAGTATTCATCAACGGATGCAGCATATTTGAATCATATATTACCACCCTAGCATCGGTCCACATCCTTTTTCGGAACACGCTCTCAAAATCTTTTCATCACGATCAATACAACTGCTTCAAAGCTATCACGTCACTTCAAGATTGGACCTACGTCGAAGTCGGAAATCCATGGAGAGATTTAAAGGGTGATTACCGCTTCAGGTGTCGAGATTTGATTACGAATTGGACAAAGCGTGTTGGAATTTGGGATTGATGTTCTTGCCTACACGTAGGTGACAATATCAGATAGGGCTTGTTAGTGCCAATGGGTGTACAACCAGGAGTATCACGGTGCAGCAATGGGTATCGGTAATCTTACAGCTGGATGAAAACTCTTGTATTCCGAATTCTAAAGTATCGATCTGGAGTTCATTCCCCATGGCTGGAATCAGATTTGCTACGATGCTGGTTTTCATTTGATACCTTCTATCCCTTCGAGGAACAAAACATTGAGGCTCTAAGACTAACAGGAAATTTATATAATCCCCTATCGTGTCGGGATACAATCGAGTTCAATTTCGATTCCCACAGTGTCGCTCAAGTGTGGCGAAGGGACTGAACTATGCGACAATTCCCTAACGTAAGTCTGATAGATTAGTATTCACAATTTCGCTCGTTCTTTTCTGGATATTGAAGATTGAGGTATCCTTGTGCTTTTCCAGTTCAATGACTTGCGATCTATAATGATTCAGATTCTCACAAACGAGTTTCAAGACGAAATCCGGGATCATTAGTCGCTTGATTTTCCAGTCTCAATATACTCGATTTCCATGTGTGGTTTATCAGAAGCATCTGTAAAGCAAACCATTGATTCATTCCCCAGCTTCTCTTTGCTTCGCGGTATCCCAATAGTTCTTCAAATTATACCTCAGAGCGCCAAGGAGTGAGTCCCTAGTTCTCCCTTCCCCTCGTTTATCATTCAAAGGCAAATAAATCATCACCCCCAAGTCTGCAGGTCTCGTGATAACAATTTATATGACTCCTCATCGAATGTAAGAGTTCCAAGAGTGCCATTAATGGAAGCCACAAGTGCTTGCGATTTATTGAATCTAGGTAAAGGGCAAGGGAGATACTGATAATTTGGGTTGTGGGAAACTAGAGAAATTGAATTTAGGGGAACTCTGGATGTGTAATGGGGTGGTTGCCCAATAACCAGCTCTTGGTTTTACTGATGTTGGTCATGAGTGCTGATAATGGTGAATCTACGCTGCTACTGGTATCTTTTGAAATTGGAACACTTTCGCTAGGTGGTAACGTGTTTGCAACTTTGTATGGATATACTTTTCTTAAAGACTCTCTACTTGGAAGCCAATGACTAACATGAGAGAGTTGCTGAAAGGGGATGCACAGTTTTCTTTAATGTGGAATAAGTAGTTTCAGTGGCACGTACTCACTTTGTAACCCCAAATCTTAGATCATTTGCTCATGTTTCCAATCCGATACAAATATTGCTTTCATAGCAACATAAACGTAGATCAACGTAGAGCAATAGCCCCAAACAACAGTTGAACAACCACAAATGCGACGACAGCTGGCGAGGGTACTGTCATCAATTTGCACTGATAATTCTTCGTGCGTATAGTATACCACTTCCAACCCACAATCACAACAGACAGCAACACAGCAAAACAGGAATCCTATTTGCGAATGGGTAATATCAAGACATTCTACAGCTTCCAAGTAGGTTGCGTCTATTATTTGTATATCCCTTCAAAAGCGTAGTGACTATTCACTCAAGCGATTCTGCGAGGAGGGTAGCTGAGTGAATGCCCTCTGCAAAAAGTGGTTGTGACATCGCACTATAAAAATCTTGACTATACCTAAAATCTTCTCGCTAATTCCTTGCAGGAAAATAATATACTTCGAAACAATCCAGAAGAAACGTCTATCTATGTCTCCCAAATATTTTCACGGGTGGAGACAACACTGCCCAAGTGCCTCGCGTAGCCACGAGCCAGCTGTCTAAAGTCACTTCTCCAGAAGAAACCATGTAAGGAGCAAAAGCTTGCTGGGTTTGAAATTTATCGATCCTTAAACTCTATCACGATACAAAGGTTCGAGGCGAAAATGAAAGAAATAGGAGATATAGACAGCAAAGATGGGTATTGCCAGTTATAACAATAGTATCATCAAACAGAGCCCACCTCACCTGGGAATGTACGAATCAACCTCCAGCAAGAAAAATCAAAGCACAAAACATCAACCCACAACAAGTGGCCCCGTTCGTCTCCTGAATTCCTTCCATCGGCGACGCGAACCAGTATATTGCTAGCACATTCAAACTAACCCAGAAACCACACCTTAAACAACCCACTTCAAGAATTTTTGGAATACCATACTCACATGTCCTCCTCCCAGAATCCCCAGTTTCCTATACCCAACCTTCTCTCGTCGTCGATTTCTATGTCCCTTGTCTAATAAACACTTCCTGAATTTCCGAAACTACGATTTATGGAAAAAAGCTTCTCGCGCAGACATTTGAAGATTAGAAAGGATTCCATGTCATCGTAATAAATCATTGATGCAATATATCCCAACCCTCTCAATTTCATTCGAGTTATCATCAGTATCAAAGTCAAGAATCAAGAGATCTCAGCTACCCTCTACAATTTACCAGACCTCTTACCCAATCCATATCATTTGGCGAAACTCAAGATTCAAAAACCACACCGACAGTGCAATTTTCTTACGTTGAAAGGACAACAAAAACACCACACACAGAATATATCAACAAAACCCACAGCTTCAAAGTTTGAAATTCGAGAGAATTTGCCCCCAGGCTCTGTGATGAATTGTTCTCGTCAATCGGCGATATCCTAACAGCATTTGTGAGATCAAGGAGCGTGTGTTTTCTTGTGTTTGAATCTCGTTATTGCTTTCTCGATTTACGCATATATTATATCTCCCGCTTGAATCCTCCCACGTGAGAGCGATACAAGACGAGAGACGCAGCTACGAGAGATACTCTTCAGACCTCCTATCTGAGAAGACGTCTCGGTGATAATTCAACAACTGATTAGTTGATACATTCATTTTGAACTACTAGATAGCTTGGTGCCCCGCTTGAAACATTGATGATGTCATTGTGAAAACAGATCATTCGTTTGCAAAATTGTAGCTGCTGCGAGGGTATGGAATACGATTAATAAATGGAAGCAACATGATTTAGGTAAGACAGACCGACGCTCTCACAGCAATGAATAGAAAAGATGACGAGATAAACGTTTATCATAATACATCTTGGCTGCGGTATCAAACATCTCCAAGTTCCATAATAACCACATAAAGAGATAGACTTATATAGTAATGCAAATGTATATTCTATTAGTCAAATCGCCACCCACTTCAAGCTTGGTATGATATTTCGTAGAATCCGCAACTAGATTGAGAAAGTCGTTTTATATACCAATCAATATACTCCACCACCACCAACACCAATTCAATCGGTACTTAATCTCCATAATCCATCTCCCAGATAATGTGCATCTTCCACCACGGGTCCCTTTCCCTTATCCTTGACATCCTTCGTTCCCATACTTAAAAGTCCCACTGCACAAGCCTCCTCCTTGCCCTCTGCACAGATAACTACTGGTTCACCAGTTTCCAATTCTCTTCCTCCATACCATCCTTCTCCCTCTCCAGTCTCTCCATATACGCCCTCTTCTTCTTTATTTCCATTGGGTAATCTGCCACCTGTAGATGTGAGACCTGGAGCCATTAGGGTAGCTCCCGAAAGAACGAATCGAATAGCGCCGCGATCGATACGCAGACTTGGGAAGCAGGTAGGGAATCGGTGAACGAGTTTGAGATGGGGTAGGAGAGCATCGGTCATGTGTTGAAAGAATAGAGGTGTAGGGCCAATTAAGTAGAGAGTTACTCTCTCTGGACTATATTCCCAATGTTAGTTTTAATTTTCTTGTTGAACGGTCATGCGATGAGAGATATGCCGCAGGGAAGATGGAAGAGCAAGGAGAATGGGAGGAGCGCACATTTTCATAGCATCCAGCTGCTCCTTCTTCGGTATTATCTCATCGATATGAGGGGCTAATAACGGATATGTGTTGACGAGTTGAGTTCTGATGGCGCGTTGAACAGAGGACTTAACCTTGCTTTTTGAGCCGGGAGATATACTGTGGAAAGGCTTTGATCAGCATTTATAGATCATTGGATTCGCAAAAATAGGATCAATATATCTTACTCTTTCTTGAACATCTTGTATATGATTCCGGTAGTATTGTGATGTTTGTGACGAGGGGAAGATTTGTTTAAGACGTGCATGTGGAGAATATGCCCCGCGATACGGCGGTCAATTGAGACCTAAAACGCACGGACTAAAGAGGAGGGGTAAATTGGAGGCTGAGGAGGGGTCTGCGAATTGCAAGATACCGAGGATGATCAGACGATCACAACATGAGGTTATTCGGACATCAAGCACGCAAGTGAGGTAGGCATTGCATTCAAACGTGGTTTTGTATAACATATTTATTTACGTATTCTCATAAAAGTTCATTACAATTCATCAAATCAAATACATCCTTCAAGCTCGAAACACTCGAGAAGCTCCCCCCCCAGATCGTTAAGCATGTCCTCCATCTTTCTATTGGTGGTTGACATGGGAAACGGTTCCATCTTCATTCAGATGGATATTGAGTCTACATGTGGAGTTAGTGATGAAGATTCTGGAAAGTAAGTACTGGTTGCAAATGCTAACCTGTTCTCCTTGAAGTCCTTGGTAACCATCGAACCAGGCTCAATGATTCTGTGCTCTTCAGGAAGGTCTTGCTTTGCGAACGTCTATTGATGAGTGAAATGTTAGTCGAGGATATGATTATTGTTTGACTCTAAAACGACCAACATACAGTCTCATCACTGGAGTCACCGATCTTCTTTCCAGCCAATTTACTCATCCACACTTGGGTCTTGTCCTCACCCCCGGCAGCACTGTTGGTAACTGGATCGACGAGAGGCATTTTGGAATACGGGTTGGATGAAAAGTGTTTGGTTTTTGATATTGGTAATATTACTTGAAAGGTTCTTCTTGTATGAGATGGGAAGTGTTTGATAAAGATCATGAATAGAACAGCGGAAGAAGAGGGTCTTTATGTTCGATGAACTTCCAACCAAGCCTTCTTCTTGTAACACATTCCCCAAACAAGGCTGCGGCGCTTCATCTCACCTGCTGAATTCAGATGGGTACGTCATAGCCAAGGCATCATGTGATTTTATGCACACGTGATACGATGCTTTCAATTCAAGTTTCTAGTGTGCGAACTTTTGCGAACTTTCGCGAACTTCCCCTTCATTCTGTTGTTCCTCGCCCATCCATCCATCCATCCATCCATCTATCCTTCCTGCCTTCCTTCCTTTCCTTTTCATTTCTTCTTCCATTTTTTCACCCAGGGGGAGAATCCATTCTTATAGTAAGTAGATTCATTCCATTTTTATTTATACTTTTTACTTTGAATTAACTCTATTAATTTTCTTCATAAACTTTTCGGTCCCGCGCGGCCACACCCGAATTGCTACTGTGCATGACAATTCATTTCTCATTGCAATCTTAGGTACCGGTACCATAGCGGCTATATGTACTGCCACAGCTATGGCCCTATAGTTTGGCATCAATAGTCAGTTCGGTACACTTTGGTTGTGGACCCAATTAACGCTTCGACCCGACGGTGCCAGTGACACTGAAAATTCAGGAGTGAGGTCCATTTTACAACCATTATTACTTTACCCATCACCCAAAACGCATTGGAAGTCCTTAGTTGCTCCCAATCTGCAAATGTCCGACAGGTCCGACTGGATCTACATGATGAATCTGATTTACTTCTATTCGCTGACTCGTCACCAAATGCGCAGTGAGTTGGGGACTGCGACCAGTGGAGCGACTTTGTATCCACTATATATACTAACTTTAACTAACTTTTCACTTCAATTACGCTATCCTCTACGCGTCCTCCCCAATCTTCATCCATTTTTTTGGGTAAAAAACACAGAATCTTTACATCCCGAAATATTACCCGTTGCAACGAGTAACAATAAGTATTAGCTCGTTTTGGTTGCTTTCATCACAAGTGCACCGTTATGCACCCGTTACGCAGTTATCCGGTACAGTTGTACCATTCTGTGTATGTACAAGGGGGGAAAGGGGGACAGCGCACTCTTGTCAACAGCAAAATCCTTCCAATACCCTACGCCAGGCTCTTGTTAATTGCTGCAACACTTTGCGCAAGCCATCCAGATACTGCTTCTGATGTTTTCTCGGAGAGATGTTGAACAACCTTAAACATTCATGGCCCCCCATGGGTAGCTCCGAATGCTTACTTACAAGGCTGACCCTTTAATCCCCCCATATTGACGTTTGATTTGTTCAACGTAAGTCTAATTGACAAGGGAAATGATGCTACGCCTCTCATAATATCAGTCCAGCCTTATTAAACGAGTTGAAGCTTCAAAGCTACGCCTCGCCGCCTCGGAGCTTAAAATCAGTCCACGATAAGTGTAGGGAGATTATTCACTGCCCAGCTTTGAACCCCCTTGACAAGCTTTTTTTTTCTTACACTTATCTAGTGCTTATATCCCCCACCATCTTTATATTCACTCGTGTAGTTTATTCTGATCAAATTCTTATTCATCCCTTGATTCTTCCATCTTTATTATTACTCAATATCAGTTGAGAAAACTCCAGTATTTTCCCTCACAACTACCCTGCAAACTTCTTCTACCATCTCTTGACAAGATCCAAACATGCGTCCAATTCTACTTTCCTTATTGGCGTCTTCAACAGCTATCGTCTCCGCCTATCAATCTCTGATGTCAGATGGATGTATACAAGGAAATTTCCATGATCTTGTGATCAGAAACTCCTGTGGAGATGATTTATCAATTGTCAAATGTCTTGCAGAAGATGTTGATTTGAGACGCTTGGATCAAATTGAACAATGTTTCATAGCTGGAGGATGCGATGCGATCGATTCTACTGTGTCAGCAGTATGGTTTTCATACGAATGTAATGATCGTCAAGGATCGGTTGAAGAGTTTAAGAAAGAGGATTTAAGAAAGAGGGCCACCGAGACAAGTTCAACTGCTGAAAGTACGACGGAATCCACTACGACAACGGCTTCATCCTCGAGTTCGAGTTCTGCAAGTACAACCGCTGCCACAACCACAACCTCCGCATCTACAACTGCATCTACAACCGCCTCGACTTCAGCCTCTTCTTCGACCTCTGCGGCTTCATCCACGACTGCTACAACTGCAAGCGCCACTACCTCTACCACCGCGAGTACAACTTCTTCCTCGACATCCGGTACAACTACCAGCGCGACAAGTAGTGGAACCGGAACTTCTTCAAGCACACTAGTCTGCTCCACAACCTCTTATTATTCCACGAGTATCTGCTCTTATGGTACAGGTGCATCCACTGGTGTTACTCTTGGATGTGCCACTACCTCAGCCGCATCTTCAACTTGTGCAGCAGGAGTACTGTGTACAACTGCAGCATCTGGGGAAGACGTCTGCATGGAAATTGACAATACACTTACGTCATCCGGCTTAGCAGTCACAATTTTTTTCGCAGTTTCAATTAGTGCATTCGTTATTGGACTTATAGTAATTGGATGCAAAGATCGTCAAGCCGCCAACCAACTTCGAGCAGCTCGTTTGGCGCAACTGGATGCAGAAAGCAAAGAGGCAATGCAATCATATAACCAAAAGAGATCCAAGTCGGTCCGACAACCAGATGCTTTTGGACATTCTGAGGCTGATTTACCTTTGATTGCGGAGCCTAGCCACGAGCAAGCTTATTCGAATGAAACTCATCATAACGCTTAAATGGGAGCTTGAGTCCGACATAAAAATGCCGAATAATGGGATTAGATGAGGGCGCATGGGAATGGAGTTTGTGGAGTTTGACATGAATCGGATTTAAGGATCTGTATCTTTATAGGCTTCTGGCGTTGATATATATACTATACCCTTATTTTGATGATTTGCCTTGTCTATTTTATACATACTTGCGTGATAGTTGAGCCTTTTTTGATGTTTCTGATATTTCGAAATAATATTCCATGATACAAGCGAGCGACTCGGAGTGTTGTGATGGAAATACTTTCCTCTAGTATTTGTTAAAAGAAACATTGTATAAAGCCAAGAAATTATAACGTAACTAGCTATTCCAAGTATATAAGTCATACGATTTGCTCGATTCAACTTGTTAATCTCGTCCTGCTACGACTACATGTTACTCCATTTACCAAATCCATACCCGAACAGTAGTCAATATGTCAAACGAGAATAAAAGAGCAATACTAAATGTATATGTATATATATATTGATTCTATAATTCAAATACAATATATGATTCTGTGTGATTTGGATTTTGAGTAGCAAGTGCTGCTTTTATTGACTGTATTGAACAAAACGCTTTTATTATTATGAATAAAACAGAAGCAGACTAGAGATCAGATATCTTGGCACCCTAAATAAGGAATTCGAATGTGAGATGGAATAGGCGAGAGTGGGAGAGTACTGCTGCTGAGACAGGCGATGAGAGGCAAGTATGAAACTAGAAATTTGTAAGTAGCTACATCTGAGGTAATTGGCTCCAGTTATCGGAGGCTGAGATCCTGGGTTATTCTAGTATAATACAAAACAACTAATGGAATGATAGTTGTATAAAGGCTGATATGAGGTGCAGGTGCTTGGGACATTTGGGATGATGATATTTTCTTCTCTAATGATCGATAGAATTGAGGAGTTTTCTTGTTGAGCACTGAAAGTTAAACAGTGAAATTGGCTTGGGATATTGGACTTGTTTCATCAACTACCGCGCTAGTATCCAAACGGCTTTTATGTTGAGATCGCGTGGGTGTATCATCGTACATAGTGTTATGAGGTGATTTTGAAGATTCTCTGTCTCTATCGTTATCCCAAGCTACGGTTCTGAAGTTGAGAAACAACAGAGGATCAAAATCGAGATTCGCTGTCACTGTTGGTTTCTGTACACAGTAATATTGTCTCCTTGCATCTTTTTTGCTTCTTATGTCTTTGCTGCCACCAAAGCGAATACTTGGTTCATGAACTTGGAGGTTTTAGGGAGGAATTTGAGATCACAATGCCTAGCTAATCATAGGAGTGGTGTCCCTCGCTACACTCTCTCACTGAAAGATGAATGCTGTCTTAGATTAATCGTCGCTATCTACGTTTGTTTCAGAGCGTAGCCCAAGGAACTTGTACATCGGATTTTACGGAACTTTTGCATAGTGTAATATATTGGTTTTCTATGTTTTCAAGATCTAGGAATTTATTTATATATAATGATATAATATCTTTTACAAGCTCAATTGTATAAAGAATCGAAAAAACAAAGGACAAAAGTAAGGAAACAGATGATTTCGAATTATTATACGCTCCGAAATATAGGCGAGATCCCTCGCCCCTAATATTTCAAGTGGTAGAAAGTCTAATCTTATACTTTGGCAGTAACTAGGGGGAGACTATAAGTAGTATGTGAATAGAATATTATTTAAGAGAGAAAGTAAATATAAATGAGGGCTGTGTGATGAAGGGACAGGAAACCATGGTTTGTTTAATTGCGGCAAATAGGGATGTGAGGTTAAATCACGTGGTATATAAGACTTCGCTTATTGACAGGCTGAGCCACTGTTCAGGTACGGTTTTCATGGCCATGGCCATCATTACCACCGGCTTACATACTTCCTTATCGCTCTATAGAGTGACTGGTTCATCGTCTCTTTTTTTCAGTCCTACGGCTAAGTATATTCGGTAGTGGGAATTCCTCGTCATTATCAATGTCGTTTTTGTTACAGCTGTTCGCTGTTGATATCCTTCAAGTCATTCGGATTATAGGGCAATCTTGGTAAGATCAGACTTCTTTGGGGGTGGCTGCTAATTGCTTGTAATTCTCTGTTGCATATACTAGTGCCAACGCGCACGTCAATCTGAGTCGAGAGAAAAAGGCAACAGAGCTATAAGAAAAGAAAGAAAGAAAAAAAGTAAGAGCCAACACGGCCTCGCGAGGAGTCTTTATAAAGACTACGACTTGCCAGATTGTCAGAGAGTATTCAATGTTCAGTCATTCAACCCGAAAATGGGTTGCAAACACAAGTATCTCGAAGAGAGCGCAAAGCAGAATCTCTTCGAGGGCAGGGCTACTCGGAAGAATAAGATATTGACTGTAAACCATCACCAGACATCATACTTGGCAGAATTTCTAGTCAAAAACGCACCTCATCAACTTTCTGGACTGACAAAGGTACAACTTGAGGCTCGATCTTTGAGCGGAAAAGGAAAATGTGATGTCTCTGTCTTCGCTGAAAAACTCAGTGAACATGATGCAGAATCCGAGTCTTGTTTGGATCTTGTCAGAGAATTTACAACCGATTATGTCACTATCTATGATAGATTATTCTTGTTCGGAAGCTTCCTTGCTGCTGGACGAATGAGCTATAACGTGAAACGGCGGCCAGAAAGCACTAAAGAGATGATGACTATGACCACTTTCAAGCAACCCGACTCAGATGGTCAAATAACACACACTATTATCCACTTGCTCGTTAAAGCAGACCCTGACGACAACACAAAGGAGCAAGTCATGGGATGGTTAGGTTCACTCGCTCACGAGATGTTACACGCTTTTTTAAATTAATTTTCGGCTGTTTCCATTGACACTCGTTACCAGAGTAAATTGGTGAGGTTTATCATGGACATGCGCGGCAAGACGCAGCATATGCAATCGAGATTGCCTCTTTGAAACTTCTATACAATGACGTCAATTTGAGTCGACGTGCTATGTTATGCTGGGATATAACATGTGGCAAAATCCCTTTGCCTAAAGGAAGCTTGTTAAGAAAGTGGGATATGATAGGACCCAGTCGTCAAAAACAGGTCCCAGTGCCTCCTCTGAGATCAGCGGAAAAGATAGATAATGTTGCGGAGAAAAGTTCTGAGCCACCTACTGTGGAAAAACAGCTACCTCATCATCCAAATAAGAAACTGGGTGGTGACAACGATAAACGTGAAGGTACTGGCATAAGGGGCAAGAGCGAGAGACGTGAGAAGCGTATACCTCTTGAGAGTGATGAGCGTAAAAAGGAGCATGAGAAGTCCGAACTTTCTAGTAAGAATGTTGAACGTGGGAAGGGGCGTGAGCAACGTGAACCTCCTAGGAGTGGTGGACGTGAGGAACGTGATTCTTCTCGCAAAGATGATAGAAGCGAGAGACTTGATCTTCGCAAGAACGGTGAGAATGAAAGTAGATCTTCCTCGCTCGAAACCCAACCAGCAAATCGAGGATTCAAAAAACACATCTAGGCGGGATCTGACTCCGGCTGTCACTAAGAAACCCAGTCGCAAATTCGATGAGCCTCAAAGAAGGACAAGCCTTGGACAAAGTAGAAACACAGGTGTTATGGTGCGAAAACAGCAAAAATAGTACACGCCGATAATGTCATTGATGCCAATATCGCACTAAAGTCAAGATTCCCGATAGCCCGGATTGCAGTTGACCAATCAATAGCTTTAGATTTCTAAATGTCATTAAAATATTCGAATCTTTTCCGAAACCACTCCTAGTCTCCTAGTCTGGAGCAGTGAGAGTTGGGTTTTGAGAAGAAAAAAATGATGGTGACGCAATATGCCTGGCACAGAGAAAAGGACACGAAAATGACTTGAATACGAAGTCTGAATTAGTATTCAGCTGGAACAGAATGATAGGTTCCGATAATTGGTCAAATCAACATGCCAAGAAATGGCTTTTCATGAGATCATTAGGACCTAGGTACCGAACCATTGTAGATCCTAGGTTACTATTCGAACTCATGTATTTCTTTAATTATTGAATGATGTTGAATCAAGAATCATATTATATACCAAAATGTTTATATATCAAGTCAATAAATTTCAACCTGGTACAGTTGTCATTCAATCAGATGCATGCGATGCTACCATAATGCAATGTGAATTAAAGCTAAGTCGAACAAAATTGACCACTACATTAACTCACATGCCTATATGATAGTTCATCTGAGAATAATCAAGTGCATAAAATCGTATATTATCCCAATCACAGCCGTATAAAATGACATGTCTTTTCCACTCTTTGGGGAGCCAAGAGCAAGAATGTAGTTTATAGGCCGAGAATCTGGACACGGCTCAGCCGCACTGTGGTGGCATTGTGGCTTTTGATCATTATTATTACTATGTAGCCCCTTCTCCCACAATGAGGCTCTAATCAGTTTTATAAGCACGCGGTACTTTAGTTGACTACTAGATCCCCAGTCTCTTCTCTTCGGAAGATTCTTCGTCAAACAGTGATCATGGATGTACAAACTCCATTTCACAGCCGTCCGGCTCCGTCTTCATTCCAACTTACTGAGGAATCTCAAAGTATCTCCCCTCATCCAAACCATGATAATGATAGCGAAGCGCAATACTTTCTGGATAACGCTAAACCACCACAACCCGAAAAGGCATCTGCAGTAATCCACCAAAGGCATTCCCGTGACTCAAATGGAGTCTTTGAGTTGGAGAATCACAAGAGCCATCATTGGTGGAGGCCAATTGCTTTGATGATTATGTGGTTACTTCTGGGCTCCTCGGTAGGCCTTGGACATCACTTTGCGTATCAAAGTCTTAACCAACAACCGCAAACCGTGTTCTCTCAATCTTGGGCACACAATCTTGGTTCTGCCGCAGCTTTTTTGGTAAAGACTTCCTTCACACTTACCATCTTGTTAGCCCTACAAGAAGTACTCTGGTTCAGTTTCCGCAGGAGAGATATCAAAATATCGTTACTAGACAAATTATTCACTCTTTCAAGCAACCCCTTCAGCTTTGTCCCTAGTGCATTTGCAAATGCACCGCTAGCCACTGCTCTAGCTGGTTTTGCTTGGACCATCCCGATATCTGCTATACTATCTCCGGGTAGTTTGGTTGTAGGACCAATGGTCACTTTCAGCGATAGCATCTGTGTCGTGCCGACTTTCGCTGCATCTTCGCCTAATATAAGCTTCTATCAGATGATACCCCATGGTTCCGGTATTCAAGGGCCCAATACCGGTATTCAAAAATTAGCAAGCCAGATCTTTTCTCAAGGAATTATTCTCGATCTTAAATCGCCTTGTGGAACTAATTGTTCATTTCAACATTCCTTCTATGGCCCTGCCTTGCAATGTGTCAACACCTCCAACCCATCATATCTGACCGAGCAAGTGGCTAGCTATCTTTACTATAACGCCACGGACTTGACAACTTTCAACGAGGATAAGGATTCGCTCATCGAATTGTCAATTACGTACAGAAATAACACGAAAGCAGAAGTACAAAGCGATCTTGACTATATATCAATCCTTTGCACCGCCTACAATGCAACATATGAACTTTCTGTCAACTATACAAATGGATCACCAAAGTTTTCCCCAAGTCTCACCTACCACGAACAGCTCCAAAATCTAAATATGACAGAGTATGTTTCCCCAGGAAATTACCCATGGCATTCAAACTCTGCAACCCTAGTTCGAGAAGTTTACGACAAGCATCTTAACGGTACATGGGCACAGTCGCCCACGACACAGTATTCAACACCTGATACAAACATAGGAAACACAATACTTGTTGGAAATACTGACAATGCCAACAGCGGAGCGATCTCATCTCTCTGGTTCGTAAATAGAGACTTTCTTACTGGGATTCCAGAGCTTCTCACCAATTTAACTATTTCGACACTTGCATTTAGCCCCGAAAGCACAAGTACAAGCTGTTCATCTTCGAAAGAAACACTAGTGTATTACTACAACCCAAATTTGCTTTTAATTCCTTATTCTGTCGCTTTTTGTCTTGGTCTTGTTTCATTTCTAGTAGGCGTTTTTGTGCTCATGCAAACTGGCATTCGCACTGGAGATATCTTTTCTCAGATACTTGTTACGACGAGAAATCCATTTTTGGACGAAATCGCAAGAGGTCATTCTTTAAGTAGCGCGAATGCGGATGTTATGAAGGATTATAAACTTAGATTGGGTAAATTAAAACGTCCCCATCGAGAGAGTGGCGATTATAGTGATGGGGATGATGGAAGAGGGGCTGAGCATGCGGCTTTTGGGCTCGCGGAACAGGTGGATAGTCTACGTTAGAATAGTTGGGATAATTTGGGAGACTTGCCATTCTTACTACACTTTCTTTTGCAGCAGTATAAAACTAATAAGTGAATGTGCTTTGAAGAGCCTATTCTTCAACTTGAGCAGGTAACACAAATAACAGGACAAGTGCTTGATCAGGTAGATTGAAGTATTTCGGCCTTACGCAAATCGCTCGCGGCATATAAGGGATCAGACACCTGTCATCTACCCGAGAAAACGAAGGATTTGCCCATTGATTCTCAATTAATACACTATCAATTCTTGCCCGAGCGTGGTTCCAAGCATTGTCGCTTAAATTTATTGTTGCCCCTAAACCAAATATGCCGAAGTCCCTGATTGTCACCTTGCCTCACCAAGGAATCACTACAATTCTTCCTCGAAACTATAAGGACTTATTTCTTCATTAGTGCACTCTTATACTCTGATCGGCATGTTATTCCACTTTTCCCTATTTCACAAACTCAGACTCTTTGGAGGTTGTCGATTGCAGGCTTGCGAGCTGTGATGAGATGATCTCATTTGGATTTTATCAAAAATTTGTAGAGTGTGAGTGAGAATCTACGAATTTGACGCCTCGAAAGGGATGAAAAGTGAATTCAACCAGTTGAATCTTAGTATAATATGCACCAGAGAGTCCTCAGCCTACCGAGCTGGTATTACATCCCCAGGATGACTGACGATTAAAAAGATAGAACTTTGAATAGAGTGCCTGACATCTTTCAGATTCATTCGCATTGTGCAAATCACTATGAGTGCGTGTCTGTATATTTGGGCAAGAAAACAAAATGCAGCTGAGCATAGAAAGGTATTAAATAAGCTGCTCCATGATCTCAGAAAGCAAGGCAAGAAGCACAAAAAAAAGAAGATTTAATGACGAGCAGGGAGCTAGATTCAGCAAGGCGGCATTCTATAGATTACGAGGAGGATAGTCTTGTAAAATTGTGATTATGGCTCAGAACGACAAAGGAATAGACAGCATTGGAGCTTCACGTCGTCAACATTTCTGATTCTCATTACTCATTAGTGAATAGCGCTGTCGAATGACCACCATCTAAGAACTTTTGTCATTTTTGCCAAATTCAAACTTCCAGATTTCCACTATCGTATCTAATATCCTCCCTTCCAATATTATCAAATCAAGGACACTTGCCGATTCATATTGCCAAAGTCGCAATAGGAGCGATAATATAAACGATGTGGCCTGTAAGCGGTCATATAAAGAGTACAAGAAAAATCGAGAGCATAGGGAAATGGCACAAAGTCTGCTAGAAATAACCTGGAAACGAGGAAAGCTTTCGGCGGGGCTCATGATTCACTTCGCATGATGCGAACATTGATACTAGAGTCCTCCAAGGGGATCGTGTAGGGAATTGAAGTATCTTTGCATATGGCTGCTAGTCTTTTGATCTGTGAATGGCTAAAACTTAGAATATCGTGATGGCGATGAGATGTAGAAAGACATACAAATACAAATAGAGAGATTAAATCCCCTTGTAGAAGCTTGAAAGACAGCGAATATCGCTTGTGTGTAAAATGATCACAAGTGCTTCCACTGTTCAGTGGACTCACCAACAATCTTCAAGACGCGCACAGGATTGTTACACTGGCGGATGGAGGGTGAGACTGAAATACCGGTGGTGGAGCCGGGAAACATGAGTTTCACCTGTCATGAGTTCGGTTCAGATGTTTTTCTGAGGACTTTTTCTCGCGCTTTTACTATTGTCAAGTTGTAATTTTATTGCTCGGCGAACATTGGGGTGGGCAATTATGACCAGTAGCTGTCGTCTCGCCATATCCGTTGTCATCAAAAGTAACACAGTACCATCTTTGTTCCAATTTCGACGATCGATAATCTAAGTATTCAAATTTCAGACGAGGTACTTGTATCTTTAACTTAGAATGCAACTCTAAGAATATAGGAAACGGACGACTTTTTCAACGCACTACTTGAAGATGATTCTTCAACCATTGGGGAGTAGTGAGAATGGCAATTCTTGAGTGCACTACACCAAAAGAAATTCTGAGTAAGGCACTGTGTCTCTACCTAAACGTGAAGAGATCATAACCCAGGGAAGAGGCCAATTGAGAGTAGTAAAGTATCATCGTATGAAAGCATACAGAAAATGTGCCAAAGTAATTGATTCATTCGTCTCGAAGGGATACAATTTAATTACAGTGTATTTGCTCCCAAGGATTTACATATCAATCTAAGAGTATGGGAATACACTCAAGTATAAATGCTTTGACAGTAAGTTTCCACCAGAGTATGTAGTAAAATCTTTATTAGGAACACTAATAGCGTGTAGGAAGGCATTGCTAGGCAATAATCCTTTGAACTTTCTGGATGTCGTTCAAGTGAACTATTTGGATAATGCCAAATGAATATCAATTCATGCTTCAAGCCATCCCAAAGTTCAAACAGAACCCCCCCCGTTCTGATATGAATATTTCACATCTGATTACTAGGGCCTACCACAAATTCTTTGTGCGATAAGTGATGGCATACCGAGGAAACTTGTGCTAGTTTTGTATGATATTAGACTTCCTTTTCACCTTCTTTTTTAGACCCAGATACAGATTTTAATCTGGCCGAATTGTCTAGACGACTGGAGGAGATGAGAACGTCAAGTATTTATTCGGCGAAAGAGATGTCTAGCGGCAAACCTGATGATAAAGGGCGATATGGGTCTGGATCCGAGTCTGGGTTTGGGATGGACGTCCTGGAAAGGGTTGATACGTGCTGATTCGAGATGTTTTGGTCCGATATATCTTGATTGTCACTCTCATTGAAAGAGTGTCTTGAACATGATTCCAGAATTCCATCCTGCTCACTAACACCAAAAATCTCCTTTATCTGCCTTATTTTCTCCTCTTTCTTCTCTGTAGGTAATGTATTTGCAAATACTTCCTTAATGGCATCCTTGTCTATACACCCTGTCTCAACCAAACTCCAAGGCACCCACGCACACGCCGCCATCGCCAATTTCTTGCTCGATTGACCCCCAGCCTTTCGCATCCGGTCCCCCACCACAATCGTTCCTACCCCCTTCCGAGAAAGGCGTTTCACCAAATCCCCAAAATCAGTATCATCCGATATCAGTATTAACCAATCGTACACAGTTGCCCTTCTCTGCCCCATCTCATTTGAATATGCGATAATTGCTTCATCCGCAGCCTGCGAACTCGATTTAACGAGATTCACCACGAACTCCTGCTCGCCGAAGCTCAGTATCAAGTTTATACCGATCAGCAGGCCTGATAATTCCCACAGCCGCCTCATGATACTTAGCGTTCTTCTCCTTAGATAATTCTCTCGCCTTAAATCGAGCCTTTTTCTTACCCTTCAGTTGCGCTGCTGCATTTAGTTTCTTTCCTCTTTCCTTTTCATGAATCTTGAAATGTTTCACTACTTCCACTTGGGTTTTCTTTTTATTGCCACAAATACCACATACATAAGGCTCATCAGGTTTGACCTTATACTTTCTGTGCAATTTATCCTCCAGCGCGTAATACTCTTTGAGTTCTTTGCGTGATTCTATAACCGAAGAAGGGACAAACGACATTCCACTTCGGTTGGCGAAGGCGGCGATATTAATGACGTTGCCGAAGCGGGAGGCAAATGCACGGAGATTTTGCGCTGCTTCGTACGGGTTGATTGAATCGAACGGCGGTTTGTTGTCCAGGTCCCATAGGACAATCACTTTTTGTTGGGGAGGTTGAGAGAGTTCTTTTTGTTTTTGAACATCGTTTAATGCTAATAAAGCCGTGTCCGGCTCCCCAGACACAATGGAAGATGTTGAATGAGTGGAGTGGGAGTGCCGTACAGGAATAATTAAATCTTGAAAGCGGGGATATGAAAAAGATAGAAATGATTTATGGGGGAGGAAGTTCGAGACAAGTAGATGTCTTGACTTGATCGGGAGCTTCATAGTTTACCCGTTGTGACTTCAGAGTAATATACTTCCTGCTCTTGTGAAATGGAAGAAGCTTATGATGTACAGTCTCAGAAGACTGTATTTCTACAAAACTTTTCACCTGCTGTGGCGGTGTTAGGTCTATGAATGAGGATCACAGGTCTGAATCAGTGATGTGAAATCGAAGAGATGAGGATTCACTCCTTCGAGTGATCTGTACGCGCGATACCACGTGATATCTGATATCAGTGAAGGTCAGCTAGCTGACCACTCGACCATTAATAAACCGTATGTTTGTCGAAGGACTTGATAGTGTCAAGAAGAGTGTGATTTTTTTACGCATATTCAAGAAACACATAGGAATGTAGTTAGGCACCGGTGTTGACTAAACTCGGAAGATATGACTGCATGGTAGGAATAGAGTAAGTCTAATTTTTCCATTGGACTTGCTGGCCAGGAATCATATATCAACCATTGGTCTCTGTCAGCCATAGTTCATGCCGCAAGAAACTTTTATTCTACGCGGCCGAAATTATATGAGCATATGACTTGAGAGCCCGATGAGTGTCTGCCTTCCATTCCTTCCTGACGTACATTACATATGAGCTTGCGAAGACAGCCCCTCCAAGTACCCCAGAACTCTGTTCACCAACTCTGGTACAGCTTCAGGACTCTTAGTCAAGTTATGTGAAGCACCAGGAATGACAGCTGAATTCTCCTCATCGACTTTTCCATCTCCCTTCTTCACAAAACCAATCCATCGTTTTACCAGTGCCTCTTTATCGACATACTTCGGAACGTATTCATCGTTTCCAGAATATAAAATTAACAACGGACTTCTAGCGGGCAAGCTTCCAAAAGTCTTCTTTAATTGCTCGTCTGTGAGATCAGAGCTAAAGTAGTCATCATCTCCATCATGATTTGGACTTGCTAGGGAGAGCCATCTCCTCGCACACACAGGTGACCCAAAGAATCCTTCCGTGGCTTTAGAGGGTAGAATTTCCTCGCCGTCTCCAGCTTCAACCATCTTCTGTGCCAAAGCGATGCCATTCTTCAAGACATCTGCATCGAGGTCCTGTCCTAAAGCTTCACGATCGCTTGCTGGGGCTTGGATAATTCCTCCATCAATAGGAGCATTTGCTTCATGTCCGGGCCCCGTTAGGTATTCCATGACATCTTGACAACCAGTAGAATGACCCATCAAGACAATCTTGCCTGATTTGATTGTTCGGAAATAGGAGACACATTTAGTTAATTCCTGGGCATCTTTTTTGAGGGAGGAGACACCCCATCCGATGTATGCAGAACTTAGCAGAACCTGAGCAAGACACCAATCTCCTGGTAATGCATCTGCGATTGATGATGGGTATGGCACGGTGAGTAAACCATCGAATAGACCACCGATAAAGATGATGATGTTTGGTGGTGCTATGTTCGCAGCTTTGGGTGTGTGTTCGAAAGCAGTCAGTTTAGGTGTCTATGTACTATTAGTAAAAAATGATTTTGTGGAAGTTTAATCCTGTAACGTAAACTAGCAATGGCCTTTGGAATTAAACTAGTGATTCGTTTATGTATCAGAATGAATCGTTTGGGTACATACAAATAAGTGCGTAACGCCTTGCCTCTGCTCTGGGACTGTGAAAGGCATGCTGATGTGTATATATTTTTTTTAGATCTACTTCAATTTTGGGGGTATGAAGAAGAATCAAACTTCGCAAAAATAATGATTGTAAGACTGTAAAACTTTACTGTGACACGTTTATAAGAAAACATAACTATTAGCTAGGTACCTAGGTAGTTGACACCGGCCAGCTCAATCTGGATAGTTCATACGTATTGCACACTATTGCTTTGTCGTCAACCCTAATATCACGTGTATCACATACAGGGGTATAACTATACTTGGACGAAATTTATTTCTAGCTTCAAAACCTCTTTCTCTCCATTCAATCTACAACAACAAGCTTCTTTACCACAATTGACCACCTTCCCCCTCTATATTAATTACAACCTTCAAAATGTCACCTCATCTTCCAACCCCATCACCTCTCTTCCGCCTCCTCACTCCCCTCCTCCAATCCTTCAGATCTACCTTCCCCTCAACAACCTCAACAACACCCCTCAGAACCTTCACCAGCACCCCATCTATGCACAAGAAGAATCCTAATAGCAAAACCGATCCACGAGTAACACTCATTCGCTACCATCTTCAACATCCCAAGACACCTCGCCCACTGCGATTCTCACGCATGCGTGCGCTGAGGCATTGGACAATCCATCGTGCATGGATGATATTAAGGCGAAAGCAAAGGATCGAGGAGGAGGGCGAATTGTACAGGTTTGTTTCCCCGCTTCCACCTTGCTTTGATTCTTCATGAGAATCTACTGCATTTCAATTCCTCTTTTCTTTTCAAAATTTGAAAATTTATTCAATATGATGAAATATTCCGGATGTTAAACACATTATACTCCGAGAGCGCAAAACCCATGTGGAGATTTCCGTTGCCTTCCTTCTGATTGTCTATTCCTCTTTCAAGCCTATTGAGGCCTGTCTTCAACCTATATATCTTTCCCCTCCTCTCCTCTCCAAGAAACTAACGCCCACCTCCTCAGACTTCACCAATCAATGCACAACGCAATGGAAGACCTCCGTCTTCTCGACGGCTCCGGCCAGAAGGAAGCAGGTAGATTATATCGCGTCGCTCTCGAGAAGAAAGGAATTTTCGGAAAAGATGGAGTCCCAATTGAGTACGCGAGAGCACAAACCGACACACCAGCGAAAGAACCATGGAATCATGGATGGACTACAGACAAAACTACTATATGATGATTGCAAAGGTAAGACTACGAGCACCCTCATTTTATTTGTTCCTTTTTGGTTTGGTTTGGTGGAGAGTAATATGATGATATACCTTATTCACAGACCTGTTCTGTAATCTTCTATGTGGACAAAAAAAGTACCAACTGCTGTCTGATTTCTCTTCCTTCTACTGTTGTATTTCGGAATTGGGAGTGAAGCAATTGACTAACAATTCAGTAGGGTGATGTACCGCGGTACATGTGAGAATTTTGAAAGATGAATATTATGAAGTAAACATATGTTACTTGTATATCTATGATGGTCAAGTTTAATGACATGGGATGAACAATGATTCGGAATAAAGACCCCGAACACTCCCCAGACCCTCCGTCCCAAGGGACTGGAGTTGTGGAAGTAGATTAGACGATGCAGGATAAGTCGAAATAAACACTGCAAGAGACGGAACAAGACGCCGTCTATAAATTCTGTACGAAGTTACGGAAAGAAGGTCAATTCAAATAGTAATCAGGCCATACCCCACGAGTCCGCATCAGACGGTACTTGATATGTAATTCTATGTACAATGTCGATGTTTTTCCATCTCCATCTCTCCATTTCTCAAATATGCATCGAGTCCCCATTCAATCAATATCCATGTAAAATCCGTCCATAACCATAACCCCCTTAATTGTAACCATTAAAACCCAACGCTAATCTGCAATACAAGCAAGTGCACCAACGCATCACCGTCCACATCACTGTAGGATTATCTCTTCTGCTTTTCCTTTTAATCCGAATTTCAAGTCAACCTCCCTCTTACCCCTTTCCAAGCCTCTCCCATGGCTTCCAGGGATATGTAAAATGAAATCCCAATTAATAAAGGGTAAATAGTGAACTCAAACAGTTACAAAGCTAACGGAAACCAGGCTGGAAATCCTCAAGCTATTTTCGACAAAAGGCGGAACTGCAAGTCAGACCATGTTTTTCCGATCAGTCATTACTAAATAGCCCTATCCAGCCTTACCACCCTGAACATTTCATAACCAGTTTGGTTTGTCCTTCCTGACAAATACACAATCGCTCGTTAGTTTCTCAGCTCCGTTGAAATGTCCAGGTATCGTAGATACAATTACCCGTGATATTGCGACGGAGTAGGTAACTTCGACTCGTTCATGCATTAGTGATGGTTGTGGAGATGTTTCCGGTTTCGACGCGTTCCAGATATATCCTCTTTCGATTGTTTTCGTCTTGGTTCAACATACCCTCCCCCCTCCAAACTCCATTCATCTTCTCTTATAGTATAACACAACATCCATTACTTTCCCCTTTTTCGAACGTCAAAAGTGCGGCTCTGGTGGCTGCTTCGAAGACATCATCCACTCCGTCGCCGGTCAACGATGAGCACTCCAAGTATTTCCTTGCGCCGATGGCCTTTGCAATATCATCTGCTTCTTTCGTTCCCACAAATTCAAGAGACTTCTTTCGCATTTCCTCTCTGGCCACCGGGTCCTCTCGTAAGTCCTTCTTCAGCCCAACAAGTATTATCGGGACCCCTGGACACCGCTCGTTTGCTTCTTCGACCCACTAGCCAAGACATTAGTACTTCGTATCAATTATCTCTAGAAATTGCAATCCTACTTTGTGTTTGACGTTATCTAAAGAATCCGGAGTGTCGATTGAAAATCCTATTAAAATAACGTGGGCTTTCGAATATGCCAGAGGGCGCAATCTCTCGTAGTCTTCTTGTCCTGCTGTATCCCATAATGCCAATTGTACAGATTTTCCATCAACTCTGCAATCCGTCACATAATTTTCGAAAACTGTTGGTACCTAAAATTAGATAAGATGTCAGCACAATTGACAGGCAAATGCGCAAAATTGCTACCAAAACAACGTACATAATGCTAGAAATAACGTTAGTAATCATTCAACAAATCATCGATCTCTGAGGATGACTTACTGTCGGAAAATAACCAAGTGTGAATACACTAAGTAATGACGTTTTTCCGCAAGCACCATCTCCAATTATGACCAATTTCCTGCACGAATGTTAATATCAAGTCTTTCAATGGCCTGCTATTTCGTCACAACAAACGCTATCGAGACGACGCTAAAAACGACCAAGAGAGGTTCGTTGCTTTGGTGATCCCAAGAGATAACGAGGCTGGGTAGGAAAACGAGTCGCCAAATGCTCACTGCAACTGAAAGCGCAATTTTTCGTTAAAACATGGAAAAGTCCAACGTACCTTCGCATAACATTCTGTGCCGGCTGTTGAGCCATTGTCGCTGGATCGGATGGTATTGTAGATATCGGATTGTTGTTGTGTATAGAGAGAAAAGGATATCGCGCAGATTAATTGAAGAGAGGACCATGCAATTATGAGGGGAAGAAACAATCGCCAAAGGGGTCGAAGGCAATTTCGTGAGGATTTTCGTGTGGATTCGAAGAAATATTATCGATACGAGAGATTGTCAGGAAATCGAAATTCTCAGAGCATTCAATTTGGAGATGGCCGGATATAAGTGGTTTTGCCGTGGGATGAGTGGACCAATTGTTTGAAATGAGGTAAGACAATGGGAATCAACCCAGGTAGTGAATGAACCCTTAATAATTGTATCGTAAAGAATTGAAGAAACACAATGAGTATGAGAAGAAGGGAGATGAATCGATTCGGAAGAAGAATTGAAGTTATACGAGGTCTTGAGTTGGTATCTCCTTTTTAATTGTTGCAGGTAAAGTTTAAAGAAGAACTGGGCTCTGGAGTGGAGATATCCGAAGCGTGAGAAGGCTGAGTCGTCGAACCGTGCACCTTTTTTTAGAGCTCTGGATTAGGTTTAGGAGAATCTGTAAAGATCTACACGAGGATCGAGGTCGCGGTTTATCAATGTGCGTGTGGGATATCGATGGGAACTTTCATATCATGGAAGTCGAAGAAGGATGCAGAGGAGAAGAAAAAGCTTCCGATCTTGGGCATGTTATCAAGCGAAATCCAGATAAACGGCTGAACGGGTGATGGAGCTGAAGAGTAGTTGGGCGAAAGGCGGGTTGAAGAGAGAAAAAAGCAATTCACAAACCTTCTAAGAATCCATGCATGTGAATGACCCCCCCAGGTATGATGATGATTAACCTTAATGCAGATGAATTAGTGGAATCGGAAGTACTCTCTCTCTCTCTCTCTCTCTTTCTCTATCTCTGTATGGTATGATTTGGATGGAGATTGAAGAGGCACAGCAAGGAGTGAGATCAGTGAATAAGAGAAGACGCAGACTCAGACTCGATGAGAGATGAGAGAAAGAGGAAAAGGTATACACTACCCAGGTACCTGATGCTTTGTGGCAACTAAAGCAGAAGATGTAGATGTAGATGAAGATGCAGGTCAAATTGAAGGGAGATGTAGAAGAAGAAACTTTGATTACTTGGAAACACCTCTGTGTTACTTACTTTTCATGAACTGTTTTATATACCTGGCATGCATGTGCAATGTAGATGCTGAATGATCGAGGTTCCAATCAGTTCTAGAACTTTGGAGTACATTAAGCACTTATTAAGTCGGCCATTGTAATGCTATGTAATCAATCAATCAATCAATCAATCAATCAATCCACTTAACGGACATGGAGATGTACGTAGGTATTACTTTAAAAGAACTAGAAAGCTTTTAGGTAACTTGTACTGTGCCTCCCTCCCTTCGAGCGCAGCGAGCTAATGGGGGTTTGGGGGCAAGCCCCCATAAGAATTAATACTCTGATATCAAGACAATACAATAGATCTTTGAGCATCATACGCCATGGAATTTGGGAGGGCTAATTCCTGGAATTAATAGAGGTTGGAGCGGCAGCAAACCACTTCTGCGCAGTGCACACATATAAATTCATAATTCGGTTGATGGTTATATCTCACACTCCATCGAGTAAAGCGAGGCCCCCCTTTTATGGCAAAATTGTGTAGATGCTAGATAGGTCCCTCGTCAGTCAGTCAATCAGTTCAACGGTAATTCGAATAATGGCCATTTTGACCGGCACGAAAGCGATAGAAAGCTTATAAAGAATGACCGGTCCGCTGGCTCGTTCTTTCGGAGACTCGGGGGGCCACCGTGGAGACAGCTTAATAATTATCGGGCCATTCAAACACCCACTAGAAGTAATCGGGAACAGCAAACGTCCCGCCCTGTCCGGAGTGTATTTCGATACGGATCAGATTAGAATTCGACTGAAAACCAGCGCCTGGCTATACCGAGTACTCGTAAAAGAGAGCCAATTATTACTCCGACTACAATGAGAATAAACGTGGTTTCAAGCAACGCAATATTTATAAATGACCTTCTCTCCAATATATTGTTGAATGGGTGCTTGGTTGGAGTGATGAGAACAAGGATCGGGATGACATTTACCTTACAGAGTACCTAGTAGGTATACTTTCAAGAATATTCTATTGATTCTATTCCTAGGTATTCTTAGTCCAGTCATCACCCATCAGGACAGATGGGCCAAACATTCTAACCCGCATCTACACATTCAAGATCACTGACAATATCGAGGGTTTGATTACTATGGGCGAAGGCGACGAGTGATGAAATGAATATCTAGTAGGTAGCGGCGATATAGCAAGTTGAGTTCCATGTCATACTCCATACTCCATACTCCACACTCCATATTCCAATATAAGAATTTGTCGTCAGGATGGATGCAGGTATGGTTCCTCTCATATAAACGAGATAGGCCTCGCACCCAAAAGTCCATCATTTTCAATATTTGATATCAAATCAACCGATTAAAAGATCTTCTTGAGCTTCAAATTGAACACAGTCGTCCAGAACCTCTGAAGTTACAAAGATTTGCCAAGAAGCTTTCCACCATCAAAACGAACATCAGTATTATTGTATGATTCTCGTACCATACCATGCAGTGCATAGACTTAAAAGAGCTCGAGGAGGTCCCTTGAATCGATACTCTGATATGCCTGAGGTGTGATGACTCAGCAACCTCACTTGAGATTCAATAACCTGCAAAGGTACCCGTACCACAATTTAAACTTCAAGCCCTTCCAAAACCCCCTTCTGGATTTCACGGTGCCCTCTCAATAATAACGACTTGTCCAAAATCTCCATAGCCAATAACTTCTCATACTCCCCAAAATAATTCCACGCGCACTCTCTGAATAAACCAGCCCTCATCCCCCACACAAATCATAATTGTTCATCCCGAAGCAAACAATCACCTGTGGTGGGGCAGTCGCGAGAACTAATCCTACAACTTTTGAGTAAGTCTGCAAGTGATATTTCAAAATAATTCAACAAATACGGCCCGTCGTTGAGTTTCGTTGGTTGAACCAAATCTAAATAATCACTAGCCACGGTCGTCGCTACCCGGACCCCTCTCACCTCTATACCCCATCGGAATGCCCGCAAACCAACGAAAGAATACAAACCAGTCATCATACTTGCAGACTCCTAGAAACATTGCGACCCCGTTGACAAAGGATGCTGGAAAGATCGTAACTACACCGAAGAAATTTAGTACGAGCGATTCATCTGAGACATCTCCCACCATGGCACAAACTACCACGAAATCAAATGGCCAATTGCCCACTCCTCCCACAAACAATGGCGCACCTACAGTAAATCGCAAGAAGCAGAAAAGAAGGGCGAAACAGGCTGCTAGAGCTGCCGCGGAACAAGCACAAGGCTCTCAAATGAGTGGTGGACCAACTTCTGGAGACGTTAAGAGACAAATGCAGGAACTGGAAGCACGCTTTCGCGAAACAGGGCTGGATGAACAATATGACGATGATGAACAATTCGATCCTGCAGACGATAATGCGTATTATAGTGACGAAGAGGGCGATGCGTACTCCGGCTCATATGGTCACGATGGCTCCTCGACAAACGGCTATGCGATCCCTGCAACGAACTCTTCAAGTAAGAAACAGAAGAAGAAAAAGAAGTCGAAATCTTCGCAGTCGGACCATTCAAATCACGCAAACCACGGTCCGAACGGTTCATCGCATAATCACGTATCGCTACCTCTTCCCTTACAGTCTCCTCCGAGCATGCAAAGAGGGCCGGGTATTTCGAAGGAGAAAATTTGGAATACATCGTCACAAGAAGAACGCGAGCGGATAAAGGAATTCTGGTTATCTCTTGGAGAAGATGAGCGCAAATCGTTAGTCAAGGTGGAAAAGGATGCTGTACTCAAGAAAATGAAGGAGCAACAGAAACATTCCTGCAGTTGCACGGTATGCGGTCGCAAACGCACTGCTATCGAAGAGGAATTGGAGGTACTTTATGATGCGTACTATGAAGAGCTCGAGCAATATGCAAACCATCAAGGAGGTGATGGTCCCCCACCAATGATGCCACCCCCGCGTCGATTTGGCGCTATGAGCGGCCTACAGCCTCCTAATCGTTTACCTCCTGTTTTCAACGGGCAGCAACCTTCAAGGGGCAGGATAGTAGAGCAACTTGGCGACGATGAGGATGAAGAAGGAGATGAGGAATACAGTGAAGACGATGGAGACGAAGATGATTTCAGTGAAGAAGAACCGGAAGAAATTCCAAGAAGTCACGCCACGGATTTTTTTAATTTTGGTAATAGTCTTACAGTACAAGGAGGAATTCTTACCGTAGCAGATGATTTACTCAAAAATGACGGGAAGAAATTCATTGAAATGATGGAGCAATTAGCCGAGCGTCGCATGGCTCGAGAGGAAGATGCGAAAGAACAGTATGCTAATGCGAATTACGGACATCCTTCAAATGGTTCCATGCATCCCCATTCTCATGGACATGTCCATAATCACCCACCGCCGCCAGAAGAAGACGAGTATGACGACGAAGAGGATGATGAAGACGAGTATGACAGCCAGGAAGAGGATTACGATGAAGAGGAAATGGTACGTGGAGGGTATTGTTATTCACCATCCTGTACGTACTAACATGGAACAGGATAGCATGACTGAAGAACAGCGAATGGAAGAAGGAAGACGAATGTTCCAGATATTCGCTGCTCGGATGTTTGAGCAGAGAGTGCTGACAGCTTACAAAGAAAAAGTCGCGAAAGAGCGGCAGCAGAAGCTTCTCGAGGAACTTGAGGAAGAAAGTCGAGCGGACTCACAAAAGAAAGCTAAAAGGGCTAAAGATGCACAGAAGAAAAAAGAGAAGTTGCTTGAGAAGAAGCGCGCCATGGCCGAAGAAAAGGCTCGAAAAGACGCGGAAAGGGCGGCTGAAGAAGCTTCCCTTAGAGAAATCGAGGAAAAGAAGGCAGAGGCCCAAAGACTAAAACGAGAGGAGAACCGAAAGAAGAAAGAGGCACAAAAAAAGGCCGATGAAGAAGAGCGCGTGCGTAAAGAAGCCGAAAAGCAACGCCGGCTTCAAGAACAACGAGAACGACAGGCTGAACAAGAACGAAAACAGCGCGAGGCCAAAGAGCGAGAAAGAAAGGAGAAAGAGGAGCTCCGGCGCCAAGCACTAGAAGCGAAGGAAATTAAGGAAAAAGAGGCTAAGGAACGAAAGGAGAAGCACGAGCGAGAAAAGCGAGAAAAGGAAGCGAAAGTCAAGGCTGATAAAGAAGCTAGAGAGCTACAGAAGCGTGAAGAGCTTACTGCTCAGCAAGCTGCTGTTCAGACTGCCCAACCTGCTGCACATGCATCGAGACGCACAAACCAAGTACCCACACCTAACTCGAGCCATACCTTAGCTTCACCTCACATTCCAGTCGCTATTCCCGCTGTACCCAAAGCACCGACTCCTATCAAGCTTCGGACAAACTCTCAGCAAGACAATTACTCAATACCTAGAACTCCTTCTAGTAAATATCAGAGTATATCACCCAATTCTGTAACCCCTCTACCGAATAGCCCAGGACCCATAGGCCCCCCTGGAAAAACACCGATACAGCATCCTCTCTTACAACACCCACAGGCCACTTCTCCAATACACTCCGCGCTGAAAGGTCCTCCAGGTATCCCCCAGAGTCCATTCGCTGGTATGCATCCTATGCCAGGAGGATTCCAACCAGGAATGCCAATGTTACCTCCAGGTTTCGGTCGACCACATCATGATCCAATGTTCGGACTTCAGCAGGGAATGGGTAATCACTTTCGTCCTTTGCCGATTCCTAATGGTGGCATCCCCCCATTTCAGCCCGGATTCAATATGCATCATATGCCACAAGGCAGGGGATTCCCTATGCATGGACCACCAGGGTTTTCACAACCTTCTCCGAACGGTATGGGTAGTATCGGCCAGCTTTTTGGTGCCCTAAAAGAAACACCTCCTTCGCAGACTCATTCCCGAAATCAGTCCGGCTCTTTTGATGGATTATCATCGGCGACACAAGCTCAGCCTATCGCAAGACCAACGCCAATTGGACGACCGTCTAGTATTGTTCATGGCACTCGCCAGAGTGATAAATTTAATAGCGGTGAATCTGATGAAACAAACAAGCATCTTGGTAGTAGCGCTTTACTAGACGATACTGATGAGCCCATCAGTAATGGAGTTGGCGCACGACGCTCGAGTGCAGCTCCTGGTAATCCCAGCAGACAGAACTTCTTACCACCTCCATTTGGTATGGACCGCTCGGATCCAGCAAGTATGATGAGCTCTTTTGGCACATGGGGTGCACCTTCAACCCCATTTGGATCTTCTTCCCTACCTGGATCTAACGGTTTTGGAGGAGGATGGAATACCAGTCTCAATATGAATGGTTCTTTCGCGATGCCACCCTACTTTCGCCCATCTCAACCGCGTTCCGTAGCCGTGAGATTAATGATTTGTATGGCTTGTCAGAATCTTCAGAATTCTACCCAAGATGAGTGGTTAGATATTGATGCTATCAAGAATGAGGTCGCTCTTCTGAATCCAGCTAGGGAGGAGCCGGTTTCTGAACGGGAATTACTGGATATTTGTGACACTGAAGGGAATCAAATGAATGGCGGTGGCACATTCGAGATCCGTTCTTCTGACGGCAAGTCACAAATTCACTATGTCAGTGACTCGATACCTCATGACTTTCGTTCTGCCGGTGCGCCAGGCGAGATCGGGAGCCCTATCAGTGGAGGGGCATCTAGAAATCTAGGACCTCCTGGCCGAGCTCCAATTGGTGGATTTTAACGGTTATAATTAATCCACCTAGCTTCTTTTCGCTATCCAATTCTCATAATTTGAGTATCACAAATTCCGTATTTTGGAGCTTATTTGTGTCAGTGGTTTGTTTCTTTTCATGGTGGTGTAAGATTTGCATGGACGGGCATCGATCAAACAAAAGGCCAGATATGGCGCTGTTCATGATATCGCTTGCAGTTCTTCATTTTTTTAATGCCGGTTGGGTTGGTCTGGTCTCCCTTGATTGAGGAGGAGGAATCAATCAATCAATACTCATGGGCGTTTTTACGCTGACTTATCTTCACCTGCTTCGCAAAGCAGAGGTGAATATCGAATACCAATATTATTCTAGTGTTCTACCGTGCGCCTTTTTGTCCTGTTGTATTTTCTGTTATCTTGACTTGCGTGAAATCTGACAAACTTACTCGATATATCCGTGTATGTGTCGAGTAGCCGTTTGGAAATCGAGAGTCAATACTATAATATCTGCAGTTCTACTTTGTTTGTTCATTACGTAAATTTATCTTGCTAATTTTGAACAAAGCTTAATGTTGGGATTTAGCACTATTCTTCCACCAAAAGTTTGACGAAATTTGATACCTGGACATGCATCAACTGTTCACTACCTAGGTGCATACACCAGCATACATTTATGCCAAGTAGGTACTACATTGAATTCCTAAGATGAGACGATACAATAACGTCATGCAATGTATCAATCATCTAACAGTCGGCTCTCGTTAGCGGCCGACTCTTACCAGGTCACCACCTTCCTGCTTTGATAATTCGCCACCATTCACTTCAACCCCTCGCCTATCCTTCTCGGTTCGGGACCACACTCCTGTACATCCCCATTTCTACGCAATTGATTTGTGTTCGAAAGTCGAACAATATATGCAACTATACGATTTCACGAATGGCATCGTGTTCAACATAATTTGGAATTCAATCATTGCCATCACAATTACTTTTCGTTATTACTGTCACCTGCACCGTCAACAAACTAAGCCCCAGGCAGTCTTTTCATCCTCTTTCACGTAATTTTTTCTCGCTCGAAAATCAATAGTTATATATACGAAAGCACACAGATGGGCGCTTAACATTGATAAGGTCACGAAAGGAACGAGGGGCAAGAAAATAGAATATTAGCGCTTGTATATATTTGACTTGGGATCCATGATATTGAGGCTCGAGCTTTGGGTTGTGATCGTGGCTGCGGTTGAGATATGCACGATTATGAGTGGGACTGGGACGTGCGGCTGCGGCGACACGAGAATTTTGGATGTGCGTGGACGGAACAAATGTGCGGAATTGGAGATGGAGATTGAGGTGGAAGGGAAGGGAAGGGGAAAGAAATATAGGCAAGCAAAAAATGATTCACGTTGATTCACATCACCTGCAGGAAACTTTTATGGATAATGTGGGGGTGGAGTCTGGACAATGCGTGCCGTATGGTGGGTCTGTCTTTGGGATGCGCGCTTCGGATGGGAATGAACTATTGGTGATCAGTGAAATGGCTAGGATGGTTTACATACGGGACGGAAAGTTGATGATTGAGATGGTTGAAGAGTTGGTAACATCCTCGTGCTTCCAAATATGCATGCTATCCAGGAAGGGGCTCGTCAATCGCTACAGCATCGATTCAGGAACCTTTCGGTACTCGAGTACTTATCTCCGATCAATTTAGCACCAGGACTTTTCTGTGATCGGAATTTCGACTAGTAATATAAGGATTGATCATTGGGCTTCCTGGTGTCAGTGCTGTTGTTCCTCGAGGTGGAGAGACAAACGCCGAAAGGTCATCAGGATTTCCGATGCTGTCCTTGCTGTTCTTGACCATTGACCAGTATTTCGTTTCTAAAAAAAAGTCCGGTGAGATCGCATCTCCTCTCACTATTCAAATCCTTTGGTGCTAAGTACTTACACGACAAAGTAATACCTTTCCGTCCCAAAAATCCAATCTTAACATCAATATAATTGTGGAGAGGTTGTGATCAACTTGTCTCTAAGACATCAGGAATCGATTTCCACGTGCTGAATAACCTTACATCCGCTTCACATCCTTCGAAACATGTGGCAACTTCGTAAAAAGCTTCTAGAAAATGGAGATTATTTTCACGGTCGAATCCTGATTTATGAATGATCACCCAAAACGGTTGCCTATCAACATTTTCGAACAGGGTTGTAGATCCCGAACCGAGGCCATGAGATTTGGCGGATAAGAAAGAAGCGGGCAAGTGCTGTTCACTCCGTATAAGTTGCGCGAGTGATATTCCTTACCAACATAGCGGTTGCTAGGAAATTAAAGAAAAAGGATAGCACTTCTTACAGTGGATACGATTTTGGGTATTGTATCTTTGATGGTTCGATGGATTGGGAAGATTGAAGAATTAGACTCAATTGAATTGCTATAATTGGAACGGAGAGTAACGGTTGGTGGATGATGTAATCGTCAAGACTTCAGAATATACGGCCGTATATTTGCATGTTTATCTATTCCCCCCTTGATTGAAGATCTAGATAACGCATTTGCTATGAAAGACATTTGGAAAAAGAAGATATTATATCGACACCAAGCACATGACTACTCTAGGTGTTTACAATTGACCGTTCATTCCACCAAGCAAGCATAGCTTCTGAACTATTGCATCTTTCGTTCCTGATCTCCTGATTTCCCGTCTTCCATCTCGGAGTACAGACTTGAAAGGATTCGAAGTCCTGTCGGACAGGTCACCAAATCGGGTCGACTAAACTACATACAGGCACTTGACCAGGACTCCATGACGGTCAGCAATGCATGTAACCATACATACACGTGTGATGCTGGGATTGTAAATTATTCAAACGGAGTAGATAGATGAATCATAGCAAATCGTAAAGCAGAGCTACAGAACGATCACTGATTAGTAGCAGGGAAAGGATCTGATCTCATTTTAGAAATCGACAGGTTGTGAGATTAGTGAAGAGCTCTTTGCTTATTCTATTCGCAAAGTTTCCGTCCCGTATGCAAAGAAGCAATCATTGATTCGATTTGGTCAAGGGGTTGGCAAATAATAGATGGTCAAAGATTTGACTTTCTAGCACTGACATTTGAATCTTGATCTGGGCCCCCTATTTAATACAATTGCGCCATTCATTTTCAGCTCCCAGATCATATCTTTAAAACCAACTTTCTTCAACAGCATCGCCACACAACTGCATTATCGACCAGGCATTTGCACAAAATAATCAACCAATCTAAACGCTGTTTGCCCTCATTGCCCATGCAAACGCAACCACAACCGTATTCCTGCAAGGCTGCGACCCTGCGGCGCATATATGACATCGCTTACAATACAGACCCGTAGGCACTAGCCACTTGCCTTGGCAACATAGCTTCCAGCTTACGCTATGCGCTTGTTCAGAGCTTCCTTGTTCAGCATGAGATAGTGGAGAGTGGTAGTGAGGAAAATGGGGAAGTTGGGTGTGTGCAGCCTCCGTAGTGGTGTAGTATGGGAGCTACGAGGATGACATGGGGGACGCGCCAGGGTTAATCGAACCAATGGTATACCCGCAAGATTATGGAGATGCAGATACCTGTTGTGCCATTTGAAATTTGGAGGATCAGACCAGTTCGATTTGTTCGGGCGAAGATAGAGTATTTTTGAGGGTCTGCTTGTTTTCTTTCGGTCCTTCCGGTTGGCAATTGCGGTCTACATACGTGTTGGAGAAGATTCATATCTATCTCGATATTTCCTGCTAGTACTCTTTTTTTGTGCTCTCTTTTTACGCTTTTGCAAAGTCTCTCACCGCATCCTTTTTCTATATTTTTGTTTGTCGTTGGTTAATTCAGAAATGCTTCGAATAATATTCTCAACACTGGGCAGGTGAAATTGGACAGACAGAGCGAAATCTAGTGATCGAATCGACTGATGAACGATAAGAAGCATCCATCCGTTCAATTTTGATTCTTTCCTCGGCTCCTTTCAGTCAAAGGGTATTCAGCAAACGGTTGTACATAATAAGGAATCCCTCAGAAGAATTCGGAAATATATAAATAATAGACACGATGGACGCACAAGCCGCCGCAGCACAATTCCCACCCGGATATCTGGAAAATTATAACGGACACAAACTCGCCGTTACTTGTATCGCTTGTATTATATTGAATATATTCTTCGTCCTTGCAAGATTTATTTCCAGGTGGCTTCACAACACACCGCGGGGTTGGGATGATTTTCTTATGGTGCCAGCCTTAATATTTTCCGTGTTGCTTGCTGCTCAGGGTCTCGGTACGTGTGTAACTACTTTATGTCTCAAACATCTTCGCATTTTACGGGATTTATGTCTAACGATCACATTTTCTAGTCGGAATAAATTACTGCGGAGTAGGCTACCATATTGAAGCTATTGAGCTGAGCGCTCCCACAAAACTTCTCGCCCTCTACAAACTCTTAATGTTCTTCCCCGCCACCTACGCCATCGCCGTCACCTTTCCCAAACTCTCCATCCTCGCCATGTATCTCCGTATCTTCACCGTTCCATTCTACCGCATGATAACCTACTTTGTGATCTACATCCTCGTCATATCATCCACTATTTTATTCATGATGATGCTCTTCCAGTGCACGCCCGTTGATTATTTCTGGGACAAAACGATTGTGGGAGGAAAATGTCATTTTGATATCGAAAAGCTATTTTTATATGCTAGTTTACCGAATATTATTACCGACGTCGTTATGTTATTGTTACCATTACCCTTTGTTTTCAGACTCAACATGACGAGGAAGGTGAAGATCGGGTTGGGTGTTACCCTACTCACCGGATCAAGGTATATAATTCTCTTTTCCCTTTTCGAAAACCCAACTAACATTTCCCAAGCGGTCTCGCCACATCTATCCTCCGTTTCGTCTCTTTCGCGCATCAATCCTTATTTCCAGATACTCCCCGCGCAGCCGTCGATCTCGCTTTATACACTATCCTCGAAACGAGCATGTATATCATTGCGGCTTGTCTCCCCGCCTGTCGACCCCTCTTCAACATAATACTCCACCCCTCGCGAAACATGCCGCAAGATCAAAAAGACGGTCTGAATTCCCCCGAAGAGCACGCCCGAACCTTACACGACGACATCGAGCTCCAGCAAACCAGCGAGACCAGCAGCGGCAGCGGCAGCGAAAACGGAAACGGAAACGGAAGTACAGGAGGACGCTACCACGGGATCGGCGACGGCTTCAGAGGAATGCAGGGTCGATTCAAGCGACTAGGCTCCGACGCCGGTTTATTTCTCGGACGAAGAGATGTTTCTCCTCCCCCTCCCTCATCTCAATCGTACCCCCACTCTCAATCTTCCTCGGCCCCCTCTCATTCCCCCCAACCCCAAGAACGCGATCCGGACCGTCAATTTTCAGAGCAAGCCGAGGGACGTTTCGGTCTCGGTCTCTCGAAATTCCGTTCTTCGTCTCGGGAGCGGATCTTCAAAGCTCCCGTGTTCAAACAACCATTTCGGGCGCCCGAGCGTGTACACATAGCTAATATGCATGTGGGACACATGCAGATGAGTCCCGAGGAAGATAAAGAGCGTCAAGGGGGGCAAACGAGAGATGGGATTCGGGTCAAACAGGAATTTGATGTATATTATGATCGGCCGCCTTTATGATAATGTGGGTCTAGGAAATATTAGAGCGAGGGAGGCATTATTAAAAGGCGGGAATCTTCTGGGTTGTGTATAAGTGTATTAAGTATATTGGGCGTTTTTTTTGGGATATTATGGGCATTGGGAGGTGTTTGGATAATCATGCATTTCTGTGGGGTGGATGGTGGTCTGCTTTTGTGGATAGGAGGGTGTCGCGTGCATATTTTGATACCATGGAGACGGTGGTTACTTGATATATAAAATAAATAAAGTTAATGAAAATGATTAATGTTTACATTTGATGGCTTGTTGTTTAAAGCTCGTAAGAGCTCATATACATGTGTAGTATCAACCCTCAGATAACAGCACAATTCGAACCCTATTCGAAGCTAACGCCTCCTTTTCGCTTCCCTACATCAACGACCTTTGCGCGAAGTTGATGATTACAATACCATCCTTGAGCTAAGACCTTGAAATTACTTTTCCTACTGTGGTTGAAATACCGCCATTGTATGTGAAGCTACGGGTTTTCTACATCTGTTCCTAATGAAGCTGCACGAATACTAGACTTTAAAAAGCCCAACCAATTCACGAACATTGAAATTGCCGTCAGCCATCCCCCTGGGTAACGTGCCGCAGCTGGTATCAATACGCTACCCAAAAGGATGAGAACGGCGAGCTCTGTCCAATCCAGAGTGCCTGTGGGAGTTTTCTGGTTCTGAGCTGCACACTCTCGAGCCATTAAGTAAAGCCAACCATTAAAAGAGACAGCCTGACTTGTCTTTGTGAGAATGCAGAGAAGCAATTGAAATTGGCTTCACTCTAGATGAATATTTGTCCATGTCCTTCTCAAACGACCATTGTACTCCTAGAATAGGGTTGCACTTATTGGTGCTCTTACCAAAATACAAGAAAGCGCAAATGACTGTGTGACTAACAATAAACCGTACATCGCTGGAACTGGTATCACGACGAACGCAGTCAAAGTAGGAACACCCACGACCACAAAAGCTGCATAAGATACGATTACATATGATTTCGCACTTTCTAAGTGGAACGGCATGGCATCCTCGTTTCTGTGGTGGTCAAGAGCGATCAAAAAGGCAGCGAAAACATTGATAAGGGAGGACGAAACTATATTTTCGAATGCCAAAGATTTGTTGTCGTGGTGTTTGTAGAGAGATGTAATCATTCTAATGACCTAACCATTCTTCAGTAATTGTAAATCACAGTAAATAGCACAGCGAATATATACAATGAGAATTATGAAAACATGCCTGTTCCAATATGGAAGCGGCAGCTAAGAGTCCAACCGCAAGTCTGGGAACACCTCAACCCGAAGCCGCAATCACTAGATGATTGGTAAAGATCCTCCAACTCCAAGAATAGACATGGAATCCGATCATAGCACACACTTGGAGTATTACGTCTGGCCAGTCCATATTTGAAAGTAATTGTGAGTCTTGGGTTAAGAAGTGAAGCTTCCAGAATGTCATTTGTGCATGGAAATATGAAGTTTGAGAGAGGAAAATCCTATTCCATCTGCAACCACGAGCAATGTATCATTGATATTAAATATCGAAAAGGAAGGCGAGGAATCGGGGAAGTGGGGTAAGGTCAAGGTAGGTCGTTGGCACCG